TTTTTATTATTTACGCAAATGGTGCGGACTATAGCACGTATGTACATATAAATCAGACAAATACCGAGTACATATACGTATAAAAATGCCGAAAAAGAAATTTATTTTGTTCATTTTTTCTGTGTATCCTGGCGCTAGTTATATTTTTTCATTTTATTTATATTTATATTTATATTTATATTTATATATATAATAATGAGTTTTGGAAAAAAGTCATCGAATGTACAGACCGACATTGTTATGTAAAATTACAATTTCCTAGCATCTTCCTCCTTTCTTTTCTTTTCTTTTTTTACCTATCTGTTAAACTAACGCACTAGTATTTCGCCACCTAAGGACAGCCTCACGTTTTTCAATAACATTCATATTTACGTGAAAACATCTCTTATATAATTCCTGCTTACGGCATTTTTTTTTTTTTATGGAAAATGACGAAATAATTTTTTTTGAAAAATTATTAAAGAATCGTGAAATATACATTATACATACATATATATATTTTTTTCCCTCAACATATGAAGACATTAGACAAAATGGTGATTCATAAGACCGTATCTTCTACATACACTAATAATAATATCAATCAAACCTCCTTTTCTAGTAATAACATTCAGCCTTATCAACATCAAACAATAAATTTTACACAACCAAAATATCATCATCATAAATCATTTTCTTTCACGAATGTTTTGGATTCACCAGTGTTTCCCGTTGTTCAGCGAAAGAATTTAACATCCAAGGATCTGGGGGTTGCGAAAAAAACGACAGAGTTTACCAACAACACAGATTCTAAATTAAATATTAATTCAACATCATCAACACGACCTGTATATAATTCAACAGCCACCATGTCAAGACATCATCACAAAATGTTCGAATCAATAGCAAAGAGTTGCATCGTGTCAAGGAATTGTACTGATTCAAAAAATCATCCCGTGTTAAAGAATCGTCCAGATTCCCAAAATCAACGAGCTGCATCAAACAACTATATAAGCACACCAACTAAAAACTGCATAGAATCGAAGTCAAAAAATCTCGCGGTTTGTGCTAATGCCGATAATGATCCTTTGTCGAAGAGTTTAGACTCGCATTCGTTACGCGTGTTGAAATTGGCCAAGAACGAGTTCTCGGTGATAGCCAAGCGAAGATTTAAAAAGTAAATTTTGATGAACTTTTTTTTCTTTACAAAATTTGATCAATTCCTTCCGGTGGTGAATCAGATCAAATAAAGAATCACACCAAGGAATCATCTATCTTTTGTTAATCACATTATAACGGTAACTGATTTTTTTAAAATTTTTACTGACGCAGAGATGAATTCATATTACAATACTCTGGTGACGTACACTCGGCCAAAAATTTTCTTCAACTTAAATACGAATATAGTAATTTGGATACTTATTTCGATCTGTTTGTCGAGGTATATTTCTTTTTTTTTTTTTAAAAAAAAAAAAAAAAAAATTTATTTTATATTTGATTTTCTCACATGAATTATACGTTGAAAAGTTTTTTTTTAATTTCTACAGCGGAATCACGATAACACAATGAATGGTAATATATACGCGCCATTTATTAACAGGAGTGATACGCCAAACTGTTATATCCAAATCACAAAAGAAGGCAGCAAGAAGGATGATGGCAGTAATAATTGTGACAGTAAACATTCCGTATACAAAGTGGGAATATTTGCACTTTACGACATTGTGCCCGGCGTGGAACTTAAGCTTGGATTGAATCTTATTGAGAATGGGTGAGAAAAAATTCCGTTTTTCGGTTCGAACCTTGCCGCTTATTAAGATATGATCTGATCATGGGTTAATTTATTAATATACTTGATAGAAATCTAACGCCTGTCACTCAACAAAATCGTTCTCATCCAACGGCAAACTCAGCTTCCTATCACTCTCAGCCACCTCGAACTTTACTTCCATCAGATCACCCGTCTCAGTCTTCATCTCAGCTCGATCAAGCCAACGATTCATTTCCCATGTCAATTCAAATCACCTCTGAGGAACGTCGTCATCACAACAAATTTCAAAACCTGGTCACTGCCATTCAACTCCTGGAAACCTCGATCGTGAATTATTGTATCGAACACGCGCAGGATCCAATCATATCTCCCGTGGAAAAGCTCTCCGAGACTGCCGTGATGCTATTTGGTCTACCTCAGTCGATGTTTTCTAGAGTTCACGCGGTCATCTCGATTTGCCTACGGGAAAACATCGGAATCGATCAATGTCAGACGTGTTTGCTCAATGCTTTCCGATTGTTTCTTGAGTGGACCACGGGCGATGGTGGCAGCGAGACGAATAAAAGCTCTTCCACACCCATTCAATGGTCGACTTCTTCTTCCCGGTTCCACCGCCGTTATCATGGTAGCAGGAATTCGAACATAAAGATTTCTCTATTCGAAAAATTTGTTACATGTTTTCTGCTCTCGCTGAAAGGAACTTTCGATGTAATACCAATTTCCATATTAGTGTGGTCCGAAAGGTTAAGTATTTCAAAGTATAGATTGGTGAGATGGGAGTTGGAATGTTTAAAAGCCATTAGATTTGAGGTGATGATCACATCGACGTTATACTTTTGTTGGTTGGGCAAACTTTGTGACGAGTTGGAAGTTTGAGGAAAGAAGAATAGGCACATGAGGGCGAATTTGATCAGTTAAAAAAAAAATTTTGACATTTTTTTTTTTCTTTTCTTTTTTTTTTTATGTTTTGATCTCGTAAATTATCTCTTGTAGATTTTTTTTTCCTTGCCTGTCGAATGAACTATTTTGTCTAGCAAACGCATATACAGAATTACTTTAACATTTGAACATATAACCTTCGAAAATAACAAAATTCATTTATAATTAAATTTATACGTAGTGTAGTCTATTTCTATTAACTTGTACTTATCCCGTACATCATATACTGTATATTCTTAAATAACACTCGGTGGCTAGCTACAATAACAATCATTTCTTAGCACGTTATATGAATAAAAAAAAAAAAGAAGAAATCATTGGATTTTTGCGTTACTCAAAAGCAAACTAGTCCCTATTTTTCTATTACCTACATTATCCAATTTTACACTCATTACTGCATCACGATAATTATTTTTTGGGATATACTGTAAAATTACATTTTAACAATTCTGCACGCCAACAATTACGACAATCAGCTAACAAAAAAATTATTAATTAGGCTAGCTTGTTAATTCACAACGACAATTATCTCATTCTAATTCTCTTTATCAATTGGATTATTAATGATTTCGAATTAATTTTGATGGTCAATCTTTTTTAAAATTATCAATCAAAATCAAATTTTCTAAAAAAACTTTATTTTTATTTAAAAAAATAACCATACTGTATGTAGTAACATCGGTATGGTGTAAATGATGATTTTCTTGTATGATGATATTTTTATTGAATTTCTTATTTCATACTTAATTAACATAATTATTATTTTATCAATATACTGTATATTGTACATACTGTACATATTTTATCAATATACTGTATATTGTATATACTGTACATATTTTAAAATAAAGTATTATAAAAAATTATTTATACAAAAATAAAGTATTTTAATTTTGTTTATAATTGTTACTTGTATTTAAAATTTTATTTTTTATTTTTAATATTATAACAAAGGTTATTTTAAATTTTAAAGTTTATAAAATTTTTATTTGTAATCAATTATATTATTGTAATTCTTAGATTTTAAATTTTATTTTTAATATATTTTTATTAATATTTATACAGTAGTTTTTAAATAACAGATAAATAAAAAATTTCAAAAAGTTTTGCAATATACTGTATAATTGCAAATGATATTATTTTTTTTAAATTGTTATAATTTCAATTTCAAGTTATAATTATTGTAATAATTTGTAAAAGAATTAAAAAATTATTTTTTATTAAAATTTAAAATTAATAATTAATAAATAATTTTATATTTAAGTTTATAAATAAAAAAATTTTTTTAATAATTATTTAAATATAACAAAAATAATTCTTTAATTAATTATTATTTTTTTTAAGGTAGATAAATATTATCACTTTATTAAATTATAAAATTGGTTGAAATTTATATATGGAAAAAGTAATAATATCTCTTATATAACTTGCTAAGCTAATAAATATAATACTAACTTGTCTATATAAACTATTTAAGTAGTAAAAAAAATAAATACCAAAACTATTATACATTTGAAATAGTATTGTGTAACTATAAATACATATTTAAAAATATTAATAGAATTATTAAAATTAATTATTAAATTTTTGTAACATAAAATAGAGTTGTAATTATTATTAATAAATTTATTTGTAACAAGTAATAGAAGATCTACAATCAATTCATTTTAAAAGTTTGTATTAGATCTGAAGTTTGATATTTTATAACTTGATTTTTTTAAATTAAGATTTGTTTTTTATTAGTAAAAATTTGGATCATACTTAATTCTAATAATGGAAAATATACTGTATTTACTATATTGTATTTTAATTTTTAAATAAGATTATAAAATAAAAAAAAACTTTTAAAAATTATTTTATTTTAGATGATTATATTTGTTATAATGAAAATTTTGCTGATAAGACTATACAATAGCTTGACTACTTGTCAAATATAATCTAATTTGAATATAAAGTATTATTTATAATATTGATAATATAAACTATTTAATTCTTTGCTTTAATATATTCAAATATTTGTCTAATGTTTTTAATTTTAAGTTTGCATTTTAAACAAAAGTAGTTTGAGTATTGCTCTATATAAAATTGATTAAGAAAAGCTTGTATTAAAATTTTTTTTAAAAAAATTTAATTCTAAAAAATATTAGATCATTGTAAAAATTATTTTATAAACTTTTAATTTGCTTTATTGATTTGGTAAAAGCTTTCAATTCATATAAATTTAGAGTTTTTTAAAAAGTTTTAGTTACAAAGAAGTTCTTACAAATTATATAAATTTTGGTAATTCTTAAAAAATTTTTGGATCATATAGTACTGCTATTCAGATTAATATTTTTTATTTTAGAATTTTTGATAAAATAAAATAGAAAAATATTTCAATATATATAATTTTAATTATTATTGGTTTGAACTTGAATTTGACTAATTAAAAACAAACTAATTTATAAGTACTGTTGTAGAGAAAAATGATAGGTAGATGATAGGAAATTATAAGGGTAAGTATATCAGGTATAAACGGTATATTAGGTATAAGTAGTATATCAGGTATAATAGGTATAAAGTAAAAATATATATAAGTGACCTGAGAATGGTCAAAAAGTAAAAAGAACCAGAATAGATACTGCGCAACTGTTAAATAAAAACCATCTTTATTTGATAAACTATTGCCTTGTGATTGACCCCAG